ACGTCTTCTCAGGCATCTCGAGATCATTTCGTCCAAAATCATACCCTGTTCTTCCTCCCAAATCCATTTCTATTTCCTGCTTCCTTTCAAGCTTTATATACAGACTGAAAAAGTATCCCTCTCCCCCGTACTGATCCTGGAGATTCCATTCCAGTTCCGCACCCTCGTTGTAGATTTTCCTTTCCATATGGACATTATTTGCTCTGAATTGTGCTGTAAACACGAAAGTGTTACAGGGCGGTGCTCTTTTCTACCTTAGGGAATATACAGTAGGTATTTGAATTGATCCTTGGTTTTGTACACGCCATCCTAGGAGAGGGAGGTGGTCTTCTGGGGGAAGATTTTGGACTGAGCAGAACCACAGAAGAAAGACAATGCAGTGGACAGTAAAAAACTCTCATTTGGTAAAAGTATAGGCTATGGGCTTGGGAGGTGAAACAGTGAGAGATGGAGTTGGGAGGCACGGATTGTCAGATTCATGGGAACCTGACCATCCACAGTAGGCATTGCAGTTGGAGCATTTTGGAATTGACCCGATGGCAGCTCACAACAGCAAGGCTTTGACCAATGTAGTGCTTCAGGAAGATTGAGCTTGTTGGATATGAGTAGTTAGAGGCTGAGTCAGGGAAGCAAACTAGCAATTTTATTGTAATAGTCTAGGCATGAGTTAATGAGGACTTGGACTATAATACTGGGCATGGAACTAAAAGGAGCATGCTGGAGGAACCCTGAAGTAGGGCTTGACCAAATTTGAGATAGAATGACTGGATCTGAGGGTGGAGAAGAGGAAGTAGTTTCAGATGACTCTGGGCTTTGGAGCCTGGCAGACCAGTGAACTGGGAGAACAGCAGTTCCTTAATCAGTTGGTGATGAGATAGCTATCTAGGAGAACAGGCAGTTAGAAATGCTACTTCCGTCATGGGAGAAGAAAATCAGATCTCTAGTTTACAACCAGGGGCCATTTAGAAATTTGTGGGGGGAATCTTTTGTTGCTCTTGGTTGAATGATAGCCCACTGTCTGCATGCCTCCCTTGCCCCACAGCATTTACTGGGCAGTGTTCTACCCACAGTGTTATTAGAGAACACCATTATAGCTAAAACATGTCCAAAACAATATCTAAACAGTTTCTAGCTAAACCATGCGTACTCTGAGGGAAGGTAGAAAAGAGGAGAACATTTTGGAGAATGCTGACTTAATAGGAGGTAGGTGGAGATAGGAAAAAAAAATTGCCAGGATAGTTGCTGGTCATGGAGTAAAAAGGAGGGGATAGTTTCAAGAAAAGGCCATCTAGAAAGGCCACATAGCATGGCGGGAGCACAGCTTCCAGAGTCTGGTTCTCATCCTGCCTTGCTTTATAAACCCAGAGCCATTTTCCAATGGTCAAAAGCCCCTAGGGGTTTGTGTTGAAAATGTTTGGCTAGGAGGGGTTTAAGATGGTGACAAAGCCTTCTTTCTGCTCATTTCAGTACTTTACGGCACGTGTCCTTAGAAAAGACTATTCAAAAGTAAGGCACAGTTCCCATTCCAACTAATTTATAATTCAGCAGTGTAGTGTAAGCCAATCCCTCCAATACCTATAAATACATTAGAATGGGGCTTATTTAAGTTAGTTTGGAAAGAGCAATGTGGGGTGGTGGAATTCAGAATTAGAGATTACAGTATTTTGAGTGCTTAAGTTATATTTCTTCAGCAGTCATAACTCTTAGATTTCCTCCTTTAATTCATAAAGGAGAATGAGCAAAACACTATCCTTATAAATTTTTACTTGGTAATTAAATTGTTTGGATTATTACTGTTAGGTTCTTAAGGGCTCTACAGAAATTTTTTCATTGAAAAGTAATTTTCTCATGGAAACCATGTTGTAAATGATAGGTAGTTTCCCAACTCAAGTCATTAAAAAAAACTTCAGAGCTTTTAACGTTTGATTACTTTGGTGGCACTGCTCAGCAATACCTAAAGGTTTGTAGGTGGATGAAGAAGCAGAATGGAACAGGATTTCCTTGCTGCCCAGCAGTGTTTCTTAGGCGCTGCCCGAGTCCAGGGCTTCTGCCTGCAGTTCTGGAGCACAGCAGGGCAAGGCTGTGCACTGCAAAACTCTGGGGTCTCCATTTGCATCATTTGTGTTAATGGCGCCGCTGGAGTTCTGTACTTCCGCAGCCTGTGTCCGTATGTGATGGCCTTGTGGTAACGTAAAAGGGGAAAAAGTGAAATCACTGAGAATGATTTTAGTATTTTCACAAGTATCAAATAATTAAATTTTTAACAGAGTCACTTGCTGTATAAACTGGGAGTCATTTTCCAAGCGTCAGAAGTCCCTAGGGTTTTGAGTTGCAAACGTTTGGCTAGGAGGGATTTAGAATGGTGGCAGTGTTTTCTGCTCCTTTAAGGTGTTCGTATTACAAAAAAATCTTAGAGTTGCTGTAGTCTCTACAGGTATATTTGTTAACCACATAGGTCCACATACTTTTTAGAAGCACACTGAATTTATGCTGCATAAGGTCACAGGATTTGCAAGCAGGATACCTGTCTTAATTTACAGTGGGCACCTCACCTGGGGTCTGATCATTGGTACCTTGGCAAGTCATTTCAGTTGGGAGGTACCCTAACGTGCAGTCGATCGTGAGAGTCTCTGTTTTATGTATTACAAAGAAAGAAAGCATACTGCTAAGTAAACTCTGGTAAAGAGTTTTCTTATTACTTAGGATTTTTATTTTACGTTTTTAAAAAAGAGCTCTTTTTTTAAAACTTAGCGAATAGTCTAATAGATTTTTCTTATACAGTATATCATTCTTGTGCATTTACTTAAAGAAAAATTGAAGTGAAATAAATTGTTAAGATATTCCTAAGATTTCTGTATGTTCAGTCTGACTCTTCTAAAATAACTGTTTAACTCAGGGTTGTGGAAGTCTCCTCCTTCCTCCCCCTCTCTTCTCCACCAATGTAGTATCATGTCATTAAGAGTATTGGTGATGCAATACCTCTTTCTTTCTTTTTTTATTGTGGTGAAAATACACTCAATGATACATTTGCCAATCCAGCGGTTTCTACATTTACAATTTAGTGACATTGATTACAGTCTTTCATGCCTTATCCCTGTCTTTTTCTTAATTATTCTACCACCATTAACATAAACTCAGTGCCCCCCAAGCGGAAACTCCTCCTTTCCCCCCTCCCTCCCTCCCCTGGTAGCCACTAATAAGCTTTGGTTTTTGTATGTGTGCTTATTTCATGTAAGTGAGGCCATACAATATTTGTCCTTTTGTGACTGACTGATTTCGCTCAGCATTAATGTTTTCAAGCTTCATCAGTGTTGTGGCATGCATCAGAACTTCATTTCTCTTTGTGACTGAGAAGTATCTCATTGTATATGTATACCACGTTTTATTTACCCAACATCTATTGAGGGACATTTCAGTTGCTTCCACCTTTTGGCTATTGTGAAAAGTGCAGCAGTGAACATTGGTGTACAAGTTTCTGTTGCAACATTTCTTAAGGGAATGCTCTGTTATTCTTTTATCAGTCAAAAATCCAGTCAGTTGATACTTGTGAAGATCCAAAGTGCAATATAAACTGTTGAAATTTTCCCTCCTTTAGAATACTTCAGGGCTGCTGTATGTAGGTGCATGGATTGTGTAATGTCAAGTCGTAGGAGCAGACCATAACATAGCTTCATCTGCTTGTGCTTTTTCCTTTTTTAGGTCCTATAAAGCCCTTGGATATTGCTTTATAGGAAAATACTGAATTGCTGTCATTCCTCCAGTGATGAGTAGTGACTTCACTAATATCCCATTGCTGTGTTTCTTTGCCTTTCTTACACAATAAATTTTTGTTTAAATGCAGAATCCTATTGTTAACTTTTTAAAGATATTTTAAGCTGCAGATAGAACTAAAAATGGGCACTGTCAACAACACAGTTGAAAAAGAACGACAATGTGAGCATCTGTGACCAAGTTGCCTTTGTGTAGGCAAAGACAGCTGTGACACAACTGCCACCAGTTGTAACTTGGCACTAGTTGTAATGGGGCATTGGTTTAAGATGCATCCTAATTGCAGAGATTAAAATGTGAAAACGTATGTCTTATGTTGTTTTTGAATCACCAGTTGCATAAGAGATGGAAGGGCACTCAGCTTGAGTCTGGTGTGCACCCAACATCTGGCCAGGGAGACGGGAGTCAGGGTCAAGTAAGAACATGGTAATCAACCCAGGAGTTCACATGGCTGACCTAGGGCCAGAAATACCTCCCAGAAGGAGGCCAGATAGCTGGGTATGAGCGTTAACATACTTTTAACTTTGCCCGTTCTGGGCTTCGACCAATTTCTAGTTTATCATTTCTTAGATCATTTAAACAGATGCAATGTATCTTAAAGATACTTTACAGTCTACTTACAGTACGTAGAGTATCTTCCATCTTCTAAGCTTTGATATCCTAAAATTGCTTTTGAAAGGTTACTCTTGAAGTTCATTAGCTTCTTATTTTAACTTGGTAGTGCAAAATAATGTTTTCAAGAGTCACTAGGGCATAAAGTACTAAGCAGAAAGGGAGGAGAGTTGTGGCAGAAGATGCGAGATGCGCTAGGAAGGTCCTTAATTAAAGAATCTTTGATGTAACTCATAGTGTTGGGAGTGCCATTGCAAGGGAGTATAATATAAATGAAAGCTGAAGTATATTTTTCTTCATTCACTTCCGCTTGTTCAAAGGCTAAAGAAGAAAATCTTTAATTGGGTCTTTAGCGTCTTACACCGAGCCTCCTTTCCCTAGATAAACCTAAAAAGGTAGTGAGTTGGAACATAAGGGTGGGTTTGTTTCACTTTACTTGACGACAGTGAGTTTGGTTTGGGTTTTTGGTATTTTGTTATAAACAGGGATTCAAAAATCTCAGCTGTGATAACTTGGATGAGAGGAGCATAAGCTGAGCATACGCCCTACATAGACTTTCTGGCCTGGAATTCTGCGTTTAATATTGACTAACTGGATGGAGATATTTTTGTCTTTAACAGGTTTCTCCACGTAAATTTATTGTAAAAATACGGAAAAAGATGGCAGCGGAAACGCAGACACTGAACTTTGGGCCTGAATGGTGAGTTTTCAAAATCTCCTCCCATTCGATGTTGGGTGACTAGTACAGGATTAAGGTGTTTGTAAAGGTGCTGGGAGGTTTGTAAGTGTGTATGTTTTTGAGACTATGCTTTATGTGTCTAGTTGAAAACAATGGGGCTAGCCCAGGAATAAATTATATTTGGTAAATGACTGCATTCTTTAATTTTTAAAAAATTTCTTGGTCTGATTATGTAATGTTAATGGGGTCAAAACTCCCCATAGGTCACCACCCTAGCACATATTTACTTTTTCTTTGAGCCCTTATCTAGGTGAATATACAATTTTATATAAATAGAATTGTTAACACTTTCATGTGTATATTTTTTTGCTACAGTGTTAGTTTGTGATTCCTATTTGTAGACATTGGAAAAATAGTTTTTACTATAATTTGGATTTTATTTTATTGATGGGCTAGGCAAGTGGTCCAGAGCAATCCTGGTGGCTGTCAGCAGAAGCCCCTCTAGGGTGGAGTTCGCATTTGCCATAATAACACTTCATTGACCTTTGAGTCTCTTACAGATGTGTTTGGACCCTGAATATGGAATTTTCATGGAATTTTGAGATCCATCACATTGTAGTGTGACTTTCCCCCCTTCTTCCTTTTCCCCCAAAGTTGGTGATTGAAGATCCTCTCTTCAGTGACGTGAATAATTATAGTTACTTTTTCCATTCAAATCTTGAACAACCCCTTTGGTAATTTAAGAGGCAATATAAAAGTAGATAAATTGGAATAGTGCCTTAAATAGTCTTGATTGGTCAGGTAGTGGTAATTTGATAAATAATACAGTCCTCCTGTAAAAACTTCCTATTTGAGGACTCTTACCAACTTACCCTATTATACGCATTTCTTTTTATGTGTAATTCCTAAACTCTCTTAACCCTGGTAGCTAGAGTTAGGAGGCTGAGGAGAAGTCACTATTCGAATTTTTTAGAACTGATACAAGTTCTATATTTTGAGAGTTTATTTTGGAAGTGTTGACCTTAATAATGCTGTACCTAATTTAGTTATTATTTTATATTTTTAAAATAATTTTCTTATTCCCCTATCAAAATATATTTGTAGAAAAATTAGAAATTACAAGTAGGCCAGAAAATGATAATAACCACTGTAATTTTACCATCCATGGTAACCAATGTAAGTACCTTGGTGTATCTTTCTAGGTGGTTTTATATGTGCTTATTTGTGTATGTGTACATATGTTTTCACAAAAATGAGATCATTCTGTACAGTTTTGTAATCTTTTAAAAAATAACCACATGAAAACATCTTTTTTATCAATAAACATTTTAATGATCTTAAACGGTTGTATTATATGGATGTACCATCACTTTATTTAACTAGTCCTCTAGATGTAGCATATATAGTCTGTTTTCAGTTTTTTATTATTATGAAAATATTTTGATGAACATTCTTATAAATAAATCTTTATTCACAACTTTCTTTACCAACTGGGTTTAAATTCATAGAGCTCACTTTGTAAACCCTTCTGTATGCAGCCATTTAGCTTTTATCTAGAATTTGTAGCTGCTTCTGTTTTGTATTTATACACCCTTATGTCTCTTTCTTTGTAAAAATATAATTGATTAAAATCCTCAGCTAATTTAAGGTAGATTTTTTTTTTTCCAGCATCCCTCTATTCAGAGGCAACAAAAAGAGGCAGCACCATGAATTTAGCCAAAAGAAAATTGTAAAAAAAAACCCTGGTAATGTTTTGCATTGGGGAAGTCTGCTGCAAAAGACCTCTTTAAAGTGTTAAAAAGCAAAAATGTCACTTTGAGGACTAAAGTGTGCCTGACCCAAGCCGTGGTATTTTCATTCGCCTCATTTGCATGCGAAAGCTGGACATTGAGTAAGGAAGACCGAAGAGGAATTGACGCTTTTGAATTATGGTGTTGGCAAAGAATATTGAATATACCATGGACTGCCAGAAGAATGAACAAATCTGTCTTGAAAGAAGTGCAGCCAGAATGCTCCCTAGAAGTGAGGATGGCGAGACTTCATTGTACATACTTGGGACATGTTACCAGGAGGGACCAGTCAGTCACTGGAGAAGGACATCATGCTTGGTAAAGTAGAGGATCAGTGAAAGAGAGGAAGACTCTCAACGAGATGGATTTGACACTGTGGCTGCAACAGTGGTCTCAAACATAGCAACGATTGTGAGGATGGCGCAGACTGGGCAGTGTTTTGTTCTGTTGTAGATAGGGTCGCTGTGGGTCAGAACTGCCTTGATGGCATCTAACAACAACAACATGTCTCTTTCTTTGTAAAAGCACAGGTGATTAAAATCTTCAACTAGTTTTTTTTTCAAGCATCCGTCTGTTGAGAGGCAACAAAGAGAGGCAACACCATGAATTTAGCCAAAACAAAATTTTAAAAAACCCTGGTAATGTTCTAAAGTCAGCACACATTTAGCTTGATTATTGGAACATAGCCACACCTATTCTTTTCTCTATTATTTATGATTACTTTTGTGCTACAGTGGCAAAGTTAAGTAGTTATAGCAGAGACTGTCTGCCTCCCAAAGCCAAAGTATTTATTCTCTGGCTCTTCACAGAAAAATTTGCCTACTCTTGCCCTACACTGTGGGTTCCCAAACAGGGTGATCTCAGTGTGTCATTGACCCAGTCTGTCAGTAGTCTCTTACGCTTTCTCCTTTTCCTTGGTGCCCTGAAGTTTTGTTTGATGGTGTTTCATTTAATCAGCCCAGCATGTTTTACAGAAATTGAATTGGGATAGCTTTAGCAGAGAAGAGTGACCAGTCTCATCCTTAAGTACACCCACTCCTCACTTATGAACATAGTTAGGTTCCAAAGACTAGGTCTTAATGCGAAAATTGGTGTTATAAAAAAAATGGAGGATGACCACATCAGATCACAAAGTGGAGGATGACTACATTGTTGCATAACTGCCAAATTGCATCATTACATAACTGCCAAACCACTGTGAATCATGGCCCAGCCAAATAGACACATAACTTTAACCATCACAGCCACCGTTACTCTTTCCTTGTACCTTGGCATTAGTTACTGCCAGATGTATGTTAATGTGCAAAATAGTCGGATAGTAGATTTTTTATTATTGTCGTAAATGTAAAACATTAGATACTGAGGTAGTGGATAAGTAAGGAGTAGGTGTAGTAGCTTTACCTAATTGTTACCTCTGTCACCCTGCAGACATTAGAGATTAGGGACCTTCCCTTAGTCCTCTCAGATGCTGATAAACTGAGGAGTGAGGTCTAAGCAAGCACGCTGCCTTCTTTATACCATCTTTATACTGTCAAAATTCTTCTGGCAGAAGGAGGATATGCAGTCCTTAAATAACCCTAAGTAACCCTGAGCTAGAAAGCTGCAGTATGAATAGATACTGTGGCCATATTTTCTGCATGTAAGATTGCATTCATTTTGAAACTTGAGGTCAGTTTCCAGAGTACTAGAGAATCAAGGTTTAGAGTGCTTCACATTGAATCAGCATGTAACTTTGAACCGTGACTGAAACACTCAGTGATACTATATTCTGTTTACTAAGGCCTTCATTTTTGTAATAAATAATATAAAATAATGTTCAGCAGGGATGGATAGAATGAAGAGCTTTATTTGTATCTGGGGACAGTAGTGAAGATGGGAGAGGGTTGAAAACTGCGGTAGGGGCAGACCATGAATGACCCTAAGCTTGGACTTCTTTTTTTTTTTTTTGTAAATTATTGTAATTAAATGAAGCTTACATTTCAGGTTAGTCTCCCATACAGAATTTTTTTTTTTAAACATACATTGTTATTAGACCCCAACCACTCACCCCATTCTGCGACAGCACACTCCTCTCTTCCGCCCCTGATTCCCCATGAACATTCAACCAGATCCTAACTGTCTCTGACTTCGCATCTCACCTCTGGACAGAAGCCACCCCTTTGGTCTCTTGTATCTGCTTGACTAAGAGGCACATTCTTCACAGGTATCACTTTACGTCCCACAGTCTAGTCCAATCCCTGTCTGAAGAGTTGGCCTCGGAAATTGTTTTGGTTCTGGGGTGATAGTCCAGGGGCCATGCTTTCTGGGGTGCCTCCAGTCTCAGACCATTAAATCTGGAAGCTTGGACTTCTTAAGGTAGGTCTGGGGAATCACTAGATTCTAGATTATGTTTAGAATAAAGAAATGTATTATATAACCACCAGAGCAATTTAAAAGGATGTGGTAGATTTAATGGAAAAGTAAATCATTTCTAGGTATCAAACAGTAGTCACTTTCTTCAAGTCTTTAGTGAAATGTTACCACCTTAGACCTTTCTTGACCATCTGTACCACCTCTCCTCATTACTCTCTGTCTCCCTTCCCTGCTTAATTTTTCTGCATGGTCTACATCAAAATATAACATGCCAAATATTTTCTTTATTATTTATATCCTATCCTCCAGTGCCCACTAGCCTGTGTGCTCCCTTGAGGGCAGGCACTTTGGTCTCAATTTTACACGATTTGTTCACTGCTGTATCCCCAGTGCCTGGCACATAGTAGGTACTCAGTAAATACTTGTAAAATGAATGAGTGAGTTATTGGAAAGTAAAGTTGTTTTTAGTGTTTTGTTATTGTAAATGGTGTGTGTGCACACACTTGAACATTTTTGTTCGTATCTCTGATTATTTCCCTTGGACTAATTTCTTGCAAGTGGAATTATTAAATCAAAAATTTTATTTCCAAGCCTTTTGATGACATATGGACAGATTCACCACCAGAAGGATTGCATGAATTTAATTCCCATCCCCTGCCTTGAGAAAGCATTCACTACTGTCTTAATATTTTTTTGGGTGCTAAGTCTGCTAGAGTTAGGTGTTTTTTATTGTTAGTAACAAAATAGTTCATGCTTATTGCAGAAAGCTTGGAGGAAACAGTAATAGAAAAGAAAAAAGAAAAGACCTAAGTTTTAATTCTGCTACCCAGAGAACCATTGCTAACATTTTGACGTGTATCTTCTTACTCTTTTTTCTTT